CGGAGAGCATGACGTCACGCTAATTTTCTATAACTAAACTGGACTACCAATTTCCCTAATTTGTACCTAGCCGTACAAAACAATAAAATCTAGCAAATTACTAAAGACACGGACTACGCAACATTAAATACCAAATTAAACAGCATTAAAAAGAGAATCTTAAAATTTAAATCCTACAAAAAATACAAAAAGGAAGATAAAAGTTATTTATATTCTAAACTCATATGGGGGCTCTATACCGTTTACAGACCTGCACATAAACTCATATTAAAAAATAACAACCAATCCAACGCTTATGCTAAAGACTAAAATAAGCAGAACTAACCAGGGACAAAAAATAGGAAATAACATCCACAGCTCTAAGGCTAGTTAACTATTTTAAAAACTAATTTTCCTCTACGAGTAAAACACAAATAACAGAAAAGACTAAAACTAGCAGAAAGTTATAAATAGCGGAAACTACAAAATACTCAGCACATAACTATAAAAAATAAAAAGGACACTAAATTACAAACATCATAGCCCTGGCCTATATAAATATATAAATTAGATAAAATTAGGTCAAAAATTAGATCTAGGAGCGAACACATAAACGTTAATGTCTAGTTTTATATCGTAATTCAATCTCAATAATCACAGATGGCTTTAGAAAAATGTTTGTAACATTTGGAGAGTTTGTTTGCACATTTCTCGTTCTCATTGGTACATTTGTTAAGGACAGGGTGAATGATTAAACATAATTTTAAGGCATTAGAGTTTTTCATCTATGGCGTAAAAAACACAACAAAAAACAAATTACTTGCTTTTTTGATGATACGTTATTTTTTAAAGCAATGATCCTTTTTGCCCATTTTTTAGCACCACAGAATTACATTTAGTAAGCTCTTTGCAGCACAAAATAATTTCCTAATAGCCTATGCTAGGAAAAATTTGTACAAATACTCCTTCTTCCCTAGTGCTATTAGAGCATGGAATGGGTTGCCTGATCTAGCCAGGAAAACCAGTGATTTGGCAGAATTTAGGTCATTGCAATATGCACGACTAAATGCATGACGCGTAGGACGTAATCATCTTTTTTTAAAGTAACGTCTGTATTATATAAGATAAGATATGATATGAAGATCTAGTCTTAAGTTGGCAACAATGAAGCTCAATTGACATTGTTTAGTTTATGGTGGAACTCTCCTATTTCTTTTACACCAGTAGGAAGTTCTTCAAGTTCTTCGTACTACTGTCTTCAGACAATGAGTAGGTACATTATTAGAAATATTTACCATAATCGTAATTGTCTGCTCAGTCTTGATTGGTAGTTGATTGAGGATTGGTTTGATTGGGGATAGGAGATATGGTGGAGAATATTTTGACTATTTCCGCTTGCAATGACTGCAATCACACCCGTTAATGTCATGCTAAATTAGTGACTTTCGACCACAAAGAAGCCTTCCTCTTTTTTTAAAAATCTTATCTAATAAACTACAGGAGGCGCGGTGGCTGATCGGTAAAGCGCTTGGCTTCCGAACCGGGGACCGGGGTTCGAATCCTGATGAAGACTGGGATTTTTAATTTCGGGATATTCGGGCGCCTCTGAGTCCACCCAGCACTAATGGGTACCTGACATTAGTTGGGGAAAAGTAAAGGTCGTTGTGATGGCCACATGACATCCTCGTTAACCGTAGGCCACAGAAACAGATGACCTTTACATCATCTGCCATATAGACCACAAGGTCTGAAAGGGGAACCTCGCAGAATTAAAAAAAAAAAAATTACAGACGTTACTTCAACACAAAACAAAACAAAAAGATGGTTAAATTGTGTGCAGTTCATGTGTCAATCTTTCCAAAGCTAAGCTTGAAAATATTAACATTTTAAAATAGGTTTTTGATCGTCTGTTAAGGTTGAAATCTTTAGTTCTTCCTAATTTATTATTTTTTGGACACAAGACTTTCAAACTAAATGTATCCTTAACCTCTGCAGTCTTCAATTGACTTCTTTTAATTACTTGGACTTTGTATCTCCACACTAAAAAAGCAATTTGAAGCTCTTTGTACATACGAAATCTTAACAGCTACTGTTACTATGACAACCAATAATAAGGGAAGAAGCAAAGCCAATTCAACATTGTCAGCCCTCTCCTCTATATTATTTTCAATTCTGAAGTTTTGTACACAGGATTCCGAAAGACATTTCTTCTTTTTACCTCGTAGGACTTGGGTAATTCTCGTCACCATCACGGGTTCAAAGATACAAAGTGCAAACACGGAGATCTAATGAGCATAGTTTGCAGAAGCTGAGAGTAATTAAATAGAAAAGTCTAAATAAGTCACATGGCTCTGATACTGTTAGGAGAAGCAGCGTGATAACAAGGACAAAACATCAGTTGTGTTTGCATTGTAGTTATAAATCCATAATAGATTTTGAACAACACGGTGACCAATGTTTAGCAAATTAAGATATTATAAAATTTAGTGTTGTCGTTACAAGTTCTAAGTAGGACTTCTCATACTTTTCATTTCGTGAGACACGTCTGGAACAAGATTGATTTATAAAGCTTATTTAAATAAGACGTTTCAATATGTCTTCCCCCAGACGGTTCTATATTATATCCGTCTTTTTTAGCTGCCCCCGAAAGGGGAAAAGACGCTATAAGTTTTGTGTTGTCTGTCTGTCTGTTCGTCCGTCCGTTTAGGTCTCGTAAACGAGAAAAAATATTGAAAATCCGACATTATGATATTTTAGACCATTTCTTCTTGTTTTTCTTCTTCTAGCCAGCTTTATTGCTGCTGAGCTGTGAGCTCTTTTGCAGACTGTGCCAAGGAAAAAAAAAGTGATGTTTTCTTCAGATGTTCAGCACTGCCGTACAGGGTGTTGGTTATAGTGTAGTGGAAGTAGGGTCTGCCTAGGGTGGATTAGGAAGGGGCATTCAAAGAGGATATGGTTTACGGTTTCATAAGGGAGGGCGCATTGTCTGCAAAGGGGGAGTTGTGTGGAGTTAATTTTGTTCAGATGGTAATTAAATAGAAATGTGTGTCCTGTTCTTAGTTGGAAAATGGTAGATTGTTCTTTGCGGGGGAGGAAGTTAATACTGTCTAGTTTGTTAGGTATAATCATTTCTTTGTACATGGCTCTGCCTGTTTTTCCTGATGCCCATTGGTTGAGCCACTCCTCTTTGTGATTGTTGACTAACATTGACCTTAGGGTGAGGTAGTTTACAGGTCTATCTGGTTGTTCCATAGATGAACCTGCCTTTGATAGCTTATCGGCCTTTTCATTTCTCATGATGCCAATGTGTCCTTGGATCCACTGTAGTGTGAATACTGTGTGATATTGATATTTAATTTTGATATCTGATGGATTATCACAATTAGTGTTGTCAACTCTCTTGGGCTGTTTTAGGTGCTGCTGTTAAGTGCTTGCAGAGTAGATTGGGAGTCATTAAAGACTACAATATCTGCTGGTGATTGTACTCTTTCATATAATTTGTTGTCCACTGTCTATAGTGCCTCAATTTCGGCTTGAAAGTTAGAGCAGTAATCGCCACAGGGTGTACTTATGTCAAAGTGTTTATTTTTAGGGAAGACCAGGAAGGCACCGAGACCAGCATTGATGGTGGCTTTGAAGGCCGATCCGTCGGTATATATATACTGTTTTTGGATAGACCATCTAAAGTTCTGATGCAAGGGCTACTTTTTTCTTTTCTGAAAGCGAAAAATTTAATTTTGAATTGTCTTCCTTCCTTCTCCATTCTTTGACATTTGCCTTTGATAGAATTTCATTATGATATTTTTCTGAAAATATTAAAACCAGCCTTTTTACCTGCCTGGGTGGACAACTTCTGTGGCCGATTTTGAGTTTGTGTTTCCACATAAACTGTCTTTGTAAACTTGTTTTTTTTTTTTTTAATTTACAGAGATAATTTTTTTCCATTGGATATGCTGAAGTCATGTATATATCCAAACCAAACCCACTACAAGATGGCCTGTTGAAGACGTTCTAATGACAGTGGCTTAGCTAGGGTGGGGGAGAGGGAGAATTTGATGGGCCCCCAAATAAGTGTTCGAATTTTTTTTACATTAATTATTAAATATTACGCAAAATTGAGGGGCCCCTAAAGAGGTCAAGCCCCCGGGCCCTCAAATAATAGCAAAGTCCTAGCTACGCCCCTGTCTAACGAAGATCAAGCCCATTACAAACGACCATGCTCTCCTGACTGGAATATGTCTCACAATTTGATATCGCCCCCCCCCCCCCCCCCCCACATTTCTCAAAAAAGCTTTATTTAACATGCACTCTTTGTGCTACATGAAACAATGCCTTGTAGACGACAGGAGCAGGAAAACTATTGGCGCCGGGTCCTGCTGGAGGAGCTCCCTGAAATTCTTGAGCTGGGGTAGGGGGGGATGCGAAGGTAACATTTTTTTGTTTGAGGGGTGTGTGGCTTGTAAAATTTTGAGAAACATTGAAATAGTTAGTAAATGTATGTAATAATGTAATGCACCGTATATACTGTATCATTCTCTTATATTTCAGATGTGTCTGAGCCTGTGGCAGATGTAACAGTTCCTATGTCTCGATTGCCTTACGCTCCTCTTTCACAAACATTCACGAGTATTCCACCACCACCACTGTTTCCAGATCCTCCTCCTCCACAAAGAGCGACTGTGTCTCCGTCAAACTCTGTTTTAAAGTGGCTGCTCTTTATGGATGCAATAGATCAATAGATGTCAATTGAAGGAACCAAGAGGACACAATGACACACTTAATACAACACTAGGGATAACACCTAATAGCTTTATTTTTTTCTAGAACAATCCTCTTCTCTAACAAAGAAATGCCAAGGACGTCGTAGCTTCTGACGTTTATAAATTCTAATTCGTTTTAATCAGTCTTAATTTTTTTTTAATAATGTCACTTTTGAGCCGTCTTTAGGAGTGACGCTTAACGCCATTACATACAAAAAAAATTTGTCATTTTGTTTTACTCCATACAGATCTATATAAAACAACACACACACACACATTGAACAAAGGTAATCAAGGACAAAGAATCCTCAAACGCCACTTGCCATTGGTCAGACAAATTCTAATACAAACGTTCCAACTGAAACTAATGTATTTTTTTTTATCATAATGCAAAAATGGCATGTTTGACTTACAAGTTTGTTTTCCAATAAATTATTTGTTACAATTTGATAAAGTATTCATATAACTGTTACCTAATCTTTAGCTAAATAATATAATAAGATAAGTTCAAACCATGTTGTCAAGGTTACCCGGCCCACTTCATAGATTGTAATTGACGGCTAGTGATTTGGTCATTTTATTTCCGTTACATAATTTATTTGCCTACCCCCCCCCCCCTTCCAATACATGGGGTATATCCATTTGATAATTAAAATCTGAATCTATTGAAATTTTGGTAATATTTAAGTTTTACGCACATTTTCTTCGGACATATACTCACTATTCTATTGTAATCAATGTTCTGGGATACAAAGCCACCAAAAAGTAAAGTCCCCATTTCAGACTTTAAGCCAGATTTAAAAGTCTGATTATATTCCCAGGAATTACGATGACGTCATGTCGACCAGCAGATTGACCAACATGGGTATCGATAAGAGTGGACTTACGAATCTTTAAATATTCATCAAACTCTTGTCCACTACGAAAGCCTTGCGCTGTGAGACTCGGCCATCACAACTATCACAGCGCTACAGAGTGGACACAGTAATTCTCTCAATCATTTATCATGGCAGTTAGCCAAGAGCTGCGTCTCGTTCACTAAAAATGCCATTCTTCCAATAAAGAGAGGAACACGTCTTACACAAGTGTCCAGATATAGCAGATTATCGAACCAATGAGAATTAGGGAGAATTGAGTGTCGATCTAAAGAGGACATACGTTAAACGGTTTAACAGTTGGTCTCTCTTTGTGATGTCTGTTTAAACAGCTGGTTAAGTGTTTTAGAAACCTACCCACTTCTTCAACTTAGAGGATACATGATTTTTTTGGGTGGTGTTACAGCTCCAGATGTTGGCTTAAGTTGATTCTCTTGTTGGCCTCTGCTGCCGACTAACGTGGCTTGAACTACAAACATAAAATCGTATCTGATGACTTCATGCACTACAAATAATACACTTACATTAAAAGAACAAAAAACTACTCAGCTCAATAGAGGATTACCATAGTATCACGAAGATAGTACTATTAAAGAAGAACACAACTATCTAGTCACAAACAACAAAGACACACAAGACTGTATCCGCATTTACTTACGTTCTATCAGAAACTGCAGAGATTACTTCTCAACCATGTGCAAAAAGACAATCACTTGTACCCTGCTACAAATAGATGTCATGATCTACTTTTTGTAGCGAACCATTTTGCTTTTAAATTTAAAATGTAAACTTTATTGTCAGAAAAATAGACAATTAGACAATTTTTAAACCAAAAATAAGCTTATATAAGATGAAAAACTTCGCAATTACAGTTATATAAATCAATAATGTATAAGTTATTTCCCTTATTCGATATATAAAAAAATTAGTTACCAAAATCTAATGGACTAATTGGTTGATTTTTAATTAATTCGTGTCTTGCTTATTTTAAATTGTTTTTGAAAAGGCAGCACGGAAACCTTCCAGATACCCCTCCACCTCCACCCCACTGGTCCACACAAGTGATTGAACCATAACACACTGAGAAGGCTATAAGCATGAAAGTTGTGTTAAACAGAAAACAATGAATAGAAATATTTACATTCGCACACATTTATTATTGTTAGTTGAGAATAGATCTAAACAAAATAAACAAAAATCAAAACAAAACAGGACTGAATCAAAATAAAGATGTCTTTTCAACCGAAGTGATTTTTAAAAATATTTTTTGTTGTTTAGATTTTCATTGTTTTATTTCATGCACGAGAGAGTCTCTACGTTTGAATTGCATCCGTCTGTCTTGTGTACAAGTGATTCTGTTTATTGTCGTGGTGTGAAATGTGTAGACACAGGGCAGTTATAGCACTTGTGTTCTTGTTTTCTTTTTTATTTAATTCTACATATCATTTCTTTACAAATGTCGTGAGGACATTTCGACGGTCGTTCTAATGTATACCTAGCCTTCAGGATCTCACGCCGACAAACAAACAGTTCAAGTGCCGAAGCGAAAGCAGATAACGGTGTCAGTGCGTCAGTCTTTAAGCGAGGATGTCATGACATGTGTCACGTGACAGTATTTAGATTTCCGAAATTATGTAACTAGGTCATTGTACTGGCTCGTCAGTTTTACTTTGAAATAAATGTCACGAATTTGTCAGTCTAAGTTAGACGTCTGCTGTAATGACGTGTGTAAAATGTAGCCATCTATCTGTTGGTCAAATCTAAACTGAATACTTGGGGTGTGGGGGGGGGGGACTAGGGCACAAGACAACATCTAACAACTTGTATATGTAATACAAATATGTGATTCATGTTTTTCTTTCTTTCTTATATTAACTCCGTCCGTCCGTCTGTCTGTCTGTCCGTCTGTCTGTCTGGTCTAAATCTTGACCACGTTTTTCTCCCACTTTTCTTTCTCGGATCAAGTTGAACTTTTTGCAGTTAGTCATAGACAATACACGAATCAATCCAAAAATTTACCAATTAGTTAACGAACTAAAGATAATTAGTTAGTCTTAATTTATATATATATATAAAAAGGTTAAAGCAAGCAGTATTGAGAGCTAGGACAATGATTTTGCTTTTGTTCTCCTTAGATAAGCTTTTTTATTATTATTTCAAAATCTTTTCACATTTGATCCCTTGTCAGTTGTTTATGTATTTCGTGGCTTTTCTTTTCCTCTCTCAGTCACTTTTTTCACTTTACATTTTCAAAGATCTCATTTTTTGTTTTACTTATTAAATTTTTTAAAAGTATTTGAGATTATTGTTTATTTGTGTGTGCGTGTTTGGACACTATTGATCTAGTAACAGTTATTCGTTTCCCTGATTTGTTGTTGCTGTAACACTCTCAAGTTTCTTTCATGTCATAATTTATGGACCTGCACCAATTCCTAAACATTAAGCCCGCCAATAAGACTGTTGTCTAAACCTCAGGTGTCTCTATCAATCACATGAATTAGAGATCTAAACTCTACGAAGTTATTTGTTTTCCTGATTCATTCTGGAATCTTTTTCCATGCACTTGAAAAGAGCCAAATTGTATGAGCTTGTCCTAGCACTTAGGTCAAGAAGTGTGTATTTATCTTTTTCTCTTTCAATTGTATTTTATGGTACTGTAGTTGTAAGTTTGCGGTTTAGTGGTCTAGATTTAATTGTAATTTACTTTTTGATAGTCTGCTCTGGAATGTCTATAGTGACGTCACGGTGAGTTCATTTTCTGGTCATATTTTCTCCCTGTGAACAAAATGTCAAGTTTCGAAATGTGTGTCCTTCATAAATCTATCTGTGAAAGTTTTGACTTTGTTTAATTGACATATTGACACTCATTTTTCAAATCTTACATTATTAAATACAAAAAAGGCTAATTTAGTGTTAGTGTTTCTCAAAAATTGTGGCACAGACATTTGAAGGGAAGAGGGTTAACTGGGGGGGGGGGGGGGGATATTGGCTCAGAACTATTAATGCTCCGAACTAAACCCTGATGTTATGTAGCATCCTTCTGTCAACATTTAAGTGACATAAGACTTATTGTCCTTAATCCAACATACTTTCATCTCTTCATCTGGAGAATAAATGAATAAATGTTGCCTCTTAGCATTACAAAGAAAATAATAATAACATTATTTTAACACTGTAATATTTTATAATATTTAAATTAAAAAAAACCCAACTAAAACACGAATGTAAGATTCTTAGTTTCCAAGAAATCCAACTTGTACTCTACGGCGACACCAGCTCTCGAGAGGAGATGTACTGTGCTCTGGGTTTATGTAAATCATACCTCACAGTTGAGATTGAAACATTTTTGACAGGCGAAAAATGAGACGCGACAATAACCGACGCATCAAATGTCTTAAATTTAGCCTGGGTTGCTGCAGCCGATATTTATTTCTCTTAATAAAACAAAAATTAATGAATGGACATTTCTAGCACGTCCAGGTATCTGAATCTTTTGGGTTTTAGAAGGTCAGTCATGACATCAACCTTGTTGGACATAACTTCCCTCTCTGTTGAGAAGCACTTATCGATATAGGCTGTTATGTACAACATTACCAACATTTACTTCAAATTAAAGCTTTGCATGTTCGATTAAAGAATAGTCTTACAGAGCTCGTTAAGTCGAGTCATAACATTAATTTATGTATCTATGTGAGCCTGGAATGTTCGGCCGCACACAGGGCAAGTTATTCCAACTGGAGCTATTGTCATTTGCCTTGCTTTTCTTTTCTGGCGTTTTTCTTCTGCCAGCGTTGTTCTTTTTTCCTCAGCAACCTGTGCGCCAGTTTTCACAGCGCGACCCATAGTCTAGATCTAATACACATTTAATTACATGACTAATCCAAACAAATATGCTTGATATAAGCTTCTTATTTATAATAAGTATTTATTTTTAAATGCTATTTTATTTTTTATTGTAAGTCTAGATCTTTTACACATTTAATTACATAACTGATCCAATAAATCCAAAATGTAGTTGAACACATTTAGAGAGAAAATAGAGGGAAGTACTCGAACTTGCTGAGACGGTCCAATCGACAAGTAAGTTTCGTAACTGCTCATAGGTGCCTGGCGTCTTAAAAGTGGCCTAGTTAACGAGAAGCCACAAAGCTAGATATCTTGACCCCTGCCACCATTCCAGTACCCGACTTCTAAGGTATTACCCTCACTTTCTGTCACATAGTTTACTGAAGCTAGAAAAAAAAGTCGACAAATTTGTCGTATTTCTATAGGTCGTGGTAGAGACAGAGTTAAACTAGTAAACCTAAAGTCCTAGTAGAGAAAGAGTTAAACTAGTAAATCTTGAGTCCTAGTAAAGACAGAGTTAAACTAGTAAATCTAGAGTCCTAGTAGAGACAGAGTTCAATTAGTAAACCTAGACCCTAGTAGAGACAGAGTTCAATTAGTAAACCTAGATTCCTAGTAGAGACAGAGTTAAACTAGTAAACCTAGAGTTCTAGTAGAGACAGAGTTAAACTAGTAATCCTAGAGTCCTAGTAGAGACAGAGTTCAATTAGTAAACCTAGAGTCCTAGTAGAGACAGTTAAATTAGTAAACCTAGAGTCCTAGTAGAGACAGTGAAACTAGTAAACCTAGAGTCCTAGTAGAGCCAGAGCTCAATTAGTAAACCTAGAGTCCTAGTAGAGACAGTTAAATTAGTAAACCTAGAGTCCTAGTAGAGACAGTGAAACTAGTAAACCTAGAGTCCTAGTA